ATAACTCGCGTAAAAAGCGGCCGATCGCGACGAAACTTTCAGTACCCTCGCATTGATCAATTTTACACCTACCCTGAAAATTTCATGACCCTGACCCAAATGACCTTTGACCTGTGACCTCTTTTCCGAGACCATGTTTGGCCGGAATCGCGATTTCGCGTATGTCGGCTCGCACTAGCCGCGTGTTTGCAAGCTTTTCGTGGTTTTAAACGTTCAAACATGTGATTTGATGTTACTCCCGTGTGTGTCAAGGTCACCTGAAGGTCAGGTCAGGTCATTGACCTTTGGTGACCTCGGGTGACCTCGGGTCACTTTTTCGAGTTTTACATGTTTCTAGGCTAGTTTTTGGAGCTGAATTCGAATTTAGCAACCATTTGAACATTTACGAAGTAGTTTTGGTGACTTCGTAACATGTTACGAAGCTGTCAGAGGCGGTTGACACGTATTACGAATACCCGTCACGACGCCTACTGGTTGACCTGACCTGACCTGACACGACCTGGTCTAAATGCTTCAAGACATCATCTGTGATCAAAACTAACACGATATTCGTGATCAGCACCCCGAAAAACCCCTTAGCAGCCACACTTTACGACTTTCTAACAGGTCCCGATTTTCCCGACTTTGGGTCATTGACCTGACCTGGAAGGTCAACCAATGACCTAGGACCTTAAAATTGGGTATCATCGGCTTCGTCTCGTGACGGGCAACACGCTCGTTTTTTCCGCGAAGCTCTAGCTCGATCAGGGGCCAAACGGCAAGGGGGGGGTCCAACCGACCCCCCCCCCCCCCCCTACACATTAGAAGCTGGCAAACGCCGCACACATGCGAGGGTTAAGTGTAAGCCTGTTGGTGATTTATGGAAATACAAGAAGTATGGTCAAATGCAACCGTTTACGAGCCTGGTCGTGACGCAATGCCATTTTGATGAGTTTAATTAAATCATATCCGCAATAGGTGTAATGCTCAAATAACATAACATTGTTCATATGTAAGAAAATTCGGTCAATAATAGCCGTTTTCACGACGGCCATCTGGCACAAAGTTGGTACAAATTAGGTGCAGATTTGGTGTAGATTTGGTCAAATTAGGCTCAGTGTGTTTCTTAAAAGTTATCAGTTTGGGTTGCTCAGATGCTTAGGTACCTATATACCCATTTTTTCAAATTATCAGACATTATTTTTCATTAAAACACTAAAATAAATGCATGATATGAAGATACTTATTGTAATTTTACAATCTCTTTTAAGAGATTTGGTGCAGATTTGGTTAAATTAGGTGCATTCGTCAAACAGCCCGTCTTGAAAACGGCTAATATCATTGCTTATCTTAAAGGGACCCTCCCACCTTAACATTAGTTTTGAGTTAAGATAGCCAAGTTTGCGGCCAGGCTCAGAAACCACCATTTATCCTGGTCGCAACCCCCGCAGCTTTGTGGTGTTCAAGAAAATTCTTCCCTTTACTTGCAGGGTGGGACCAGCGTGGTCCCTATCTCTCAGGGCCTATTTTAACATGTTAACTGGGGGGGCAAATGCCCCCGCACTCAACAGAATTGCCCCCCCAGTCGTCGAGATGTGCCCACTATAAAAATGGGCATAAAGGAACACGGTGACAAACATACAACTGTGACTTGTTTTGCAATGGATGTCAAATGAGTCAGTCTGCAAGTAATGACCAGTGGTGGATCCAATGGTGGGTCATATGGGTTATGACCCCCGCCCCCTTTGGCCCGGGGACACCACAGGCCTGCCTGGGGCACCACCGGCCTGTCAGGGGCACCACAGACCTGTTGGGAGCACCATCGACCTAGGAAGAGCACCATAGGTCTGCCAGGGGCACCACAGACCTGCCAGAGGCCCCACCGGCCTCGCAGGGGCGCCACCTTGGGCCTGTCAGGGATACCACCACAGGCCCGCCAGGGGCACCACAGGCCTGCCAGAGGCACCACAGGCCTAGCAAGGGCACCACGGACCTGTCAGCGACACCACGGGCCTGTCGGGGGCACCTCAAGCTTGTCAGGGCCAAGGGACACCACAGGCCTGTCAGGGGAACCAGAGGCCTAGCAGGGACACCACATGCCTGGCAGGGGCACCACCGGCCTTGCAGGGACATCTTGGGCCTGTAAGTGGCACCACGTGCCTGTCGGGGACACTCCAGGCTTGTCAGGAGCACCACAGTCCTCTCAGGGCCCAGGGGCACCAGCGGCCTAGCAGAGGCACCACCGGCCTAGCAGGGACACCAACGGCCTCGCAAGGGCATCATGGGCCTGTCAGGGGCACCACGGGCCTGTCGTTGGAACTTCAGGCTTGTCAGGGGCACCCACAGTTCTTTCAGATGCACCGGCGGCCTAGCACCATGGCACCATGTTTGGCCGGGATTGCGATTCGGCGCATGTCGCCTCGCATTAGCCGCTCGTTTGCAGTCTTTTCGTGGTTTCAAACGTTCAAACATGGGATATGATGTTGCTCCCATGCATTAGGGTGGGTGTCAAGGTCACCGGAAGGTCAGGTCAGGTCATTTACCTTTGATGACCTCGGTTCACATTTTCGAGTTCTATAAGATTCTAGGCTAGTTTTTGGAGCTAAATTCGAATTTAGCAACCATTTGACCGTTTGCGAAGTAGTTTTGGTGCCTTCGTAACATGTTACGAGGCTGTCAGAGGCGGTTGCCACCTACTACGAACACCCGGCAAAACCCTTACTGGTTGACCTGACCTGACCTGACCCGACCTGGCCTAAATGCATGAAGACATCATCTATTATCATAACTAACATGATATTCGTGATCATCACCCCGAAAAAACATAGCAGCCACCCTTTACGATGCTCTAACAGGTCTCGATTTTCCCGACTTTTGGGTCATTGACCTGACCTGGAAGGTCAAGTGATGACGACCTAGGACCTTAACACTCGCCGGCACAGGCCATTTTGCGTCCTTCGACGGCACAAGGGGGGGTTGGTACGACCCCCCCCCTCGCGTTTGGCCCCTGATCGAGCTAGAGCTTCGCGGAAAAAACGAGCGTGCTGCCCGTCACGAGAGGAAGCCGATGATATCCAATTTTAATGTCCTAGGTCATCGGGTGACCCTCCAGGTCAGGTCAATGACCCGAAAATCGGGAAAATCGGGACCTGTTAGAACGTCGTAAAGTGTGGCTGCTATGCAGTTTTTCGGGGTGCTGATCCAAATGATATCATGTGAGTTTTGATCACAGATGATGTCTTCATGCATTTAGTCCAGGTCGGGTCAGGTCAGGTCAGGTCAACCAGTAGGGGTCCTGCCGGGTATTCCTAGTAGGTGTCAACCGCCTCTGACAGCTTCGTAACATGTGACAAAGGCACTAAAACTAGGCTTCGTAAATGTTCATCGGGTTGCTAAATTCGAATTCAGCTCCAAAAACTGGCCTAGAAACATGTAAAACTCGAAAAAGTGAACCGAGGTCATCAAAGGTCACTGACCTGACCTGACCTTCAGGTGACCTTGACATCCACCCTAATGCATGGGAGCAACATCAAATCACATGTTTGAACGTTTGAAAGCACGAAAAGCTTGCAAAAGCGCGGCTAATGCGAGTCGACATACGCCGAATCGTGATTCCGGCCAAACATGGTCTCGGAAAGTAGGTCACAGGTCAAAGGTCATTTGGGTCAGGGTCATGAAATTTTCAGGGTAGGTGTAAAATTGATAAATGGCGAGGGTACTGAAAGTTTCGTTGCAATCGGCAGCTTTATACGCGAGTTATTCGCGAAAAAACCTTAGGGGGGTTGCATCAACCCCCCCCCCGTGTCGGCGAGGGTCGGCGAGGGTTAAAATTGGGTATCATCGGCTTCCTTTCATCACGGGCAACACGGTCGTTTTTTCCACGAAGCTCTAGCTCGAGCAGGGTCGAAACGGCAAGGGGGAAGGTCCAACGGACCCCCCCCCCCCCATATACGTTCGCAGCTGGAAAATACCAATACGGGCGAGGGTTGATGGATTATTAGAGACAATTTTCCAGGTTGCCCCCCCAGTCAAATTCCCTTAAAATAGGCTCTGCTATCTCTTAACCATTACGGGAATCTGATGACGTCATCAGGCTTTCGAACGTCCGTTAAATGTTTGACTAAAACGTTTTGTAGCACGCGGTGGTATATGCTGCTTTGCGCGCAACAAATGCCGCACTTTCAAATAAAGTCGCTAGGAACAGCGGAGATCCCAAAAAGTAAACAAAAGTAAAAGTCTAATATCTTGAAAACCGGTGAATATTTTTCGATGAAATTTGGTAGATATTCGTTTTTGCTCTTTCTGAACCGAGCGACATCACTTTCATGCCAATTCATTAACTTTTTTGAAGGTGGGAGGGTCCCTTTAAACAGTTTGAGAAGCCCACTAGTGTACCTACAATCCTTACAGCATTAAATGCCAAATGCCCTACTTGAAACTGGTTTGCGACTACACATCAACACTAATCGACCATTCACTGTCCAATAATAACCAATTACTGCCCAATTAAATTGATCGAAGTGAATCTTGTACGAGAATATTAACTACAAGCGGTCTGTTATTGTGGCTGTAGCCTACCGTTGGTTATGGCAAACCATTAAAAAAAAAACTTTCATAGAAATCACATTGTCAGTTTTATTCAAGAGCTGTGCTTTGCAGCCCATTTGTTTACTCGTATGGTTCCAAAGTCCATTTTCGTTCATCTGCTCTGTTGGGCTCGGTCTATTGGGTTCGTAAGTATTCGTCTATTCAGACATTTTAGGACTGTGAGAAAAGATAATAGGAGAGACGCCATGCACTGAATCATTGAGCTGATCACTAACTGGCGTGCCGCAATAGTTAACTATACCTAAAGCGATTCAAGTTCAGCCAGTATATAACCCATATTCACGCCTTTCGGTATTTTTATGCGGACACTGTCCTGGCTGACGGTATTTAGGCAAAACAAACACATCAGAGAGACAACAGTCAAACAGGTCCAGTCCCTCCCACTGCTCCACACCCCGCCACCGTGTCCTCACCTGTCGTTCCTCTGTATCCTGGCCGGTCCTCCGAGTCCCTATCACCACCGGTCGCCGGCGGCTCGTCGACTGCCACCTCTCCCCCCGCCGTCCGGGACGCCTCTGACCACCGACAGCGCGCCGGTTACCTCGTGCCGTGTACCCCTTAGGTCGGTGGCCATCGAGAAAGGCAGCCAATGGGCTCTGGTGGCCGGCGGCCTCAGGCGCTGCGAGCGACACCCGGACGCCACCGGACACTGGAGATTTTCACCCGTGCCGAGAGCGCCGCCGCCGCCGAGCCGAGCCGCCCTCCTCCGACGGACGATGGGTCGGGTCGCGTCGGGTCGGGTTCGTCCGTCCGCCCGGCAAGTCGCCTCTGTTGAGGACGGGTGTCCTCCCGTTCTAAGGATCCGAACGCTCCCATTCGTGTGGGGACTATACTGGTTCCTCGTTCAGATAATTTTTATGGTCAGCTTGTAAGGGAATGAAAATTAGCGAGGATATACGTTATGATGCGTAAAACGTCTTACCTACTCAACTGTTTGTCAGGAAATTTTGAGGCCGCTTATTTGACGCATTTTTTACGCTGAACGTAAACGAGCTGCTTCAGTAAATTATTGCAGACATAAGTTGCCGGAAAACGCATGCAATGAGACGCGTCTGCCCTTCGAAATGTTCCGTTTCATTTGCTCCTCGGTCATCTTTGTCCCTCCCGCCTGCAACACGGCCATTTGTCGGCGCGTACATAGACCTCGTGCGTGACATGTTCGTGTCATGTGCGCCCGTCTGCCGCCGGCCACCCAGCAAAAACGCACCTGAGAAAGCGAGAGTGCGTGAAGGCCACGCACGCGCACCATCACATCAGACGGGAGGTCATCATTCAGAAGGTGTCGGGAAGGCCGGGGCGATACACGGTGTAACGTACTGCGCTGAGGCGTGCGCGGCGGTGGCTGCAGTGTAAGAGGTGGAACAAAAGAAGGAAATAAACAGGAAGGAAGGAATGATGAAAGGAAGATGGAGCAGCGGTGGAAGGGCAATAAGAGACAGGTGTTACGGAAATTAAGGTTTTACGGGAAGTTCACGATTCCCTCTTTAAATCGGCTCTCGGACAACGTAAGAAATCGAAAAGGGCATTCGATTCGAAAGGTCGTCAAAAATTATTCCTTTGATTATTCCTGGTGACTTTCCCGATTTGCTAGCTCAATTTGATCGGGAGATATTGGCGAAAAATTATCATGGTCCTATAGTGACGTCATAAATGACGTTTCAATGTGCTTCAAAGTCACGATTCAATGTGCTTGAGATAGTTTGAGATCATTACCGGTGCCAAAATAGCAGGTCGGTTAGGTGACCGACTTGACCTCATGTGACCTTCAGGAAAAATCCAAGGTATACAAGTTGTAAGACCTTTGGAGCATACTAGGTCCTGTAAGTTTCATCTCCCTGTGAAAGTGTCTCTGGCACTGCAGAGGGCGTAGCGAATTTGTGACATCTAAGGACCGTGCAGTAGTTCACTTATGACGTCATAGATCAGTGACCTGACCTGACCTGAAAATGAGGTTGATGTCACAAAATCTTGCTTGAATTAAAGGTAAGGTATGCCAAGTTCCAGCTCTCTCTATCGCCGGTGTGTTCGGAGCTATCGCGTAAAATCCCTATGGGCGAGGATCAAAATTCAAAAAATTAATTTTAGGTCAAGGGCAGTGACCTGACCGAAGAAGGTCATGTTGCATGTCAGTCGATCTGCATTGCTTATAGATGAATATTTTATCTCCCAAAGTCAAATCTGACAACCGAGACATGAATTTACGATGTTCTCGTGATGGTTTCAGGATCAATAGAAATCTGATAATATGACATAGGTTCTACCTATGTTAGGCTCCACAGCAGAGTTTGCCAACACAAGGGTAGGTCACACAGAACGGGCGAACTCTTATCCAGTCCAGTAGCATCGTCTGTACGGGATCATTCTTTAGCATGTGACACCCCCTTCAGTATAGACGATTTCAAAATCATAGATCAAAAACGTTCAAACTTCAAGTTGCGAATTTTAGAATCTTTACGAAGCGAAACCGACTATCAATGACCGATCATTTGCGTTTAAGTATCGTCCTGTAGGAACTCACAGGAAGACGACCGAATCAACACGAATGATGTTAGTTAGGTATGTCTGGGTATGTCTTGCTTTTTGTGAAGTGTTTGATGTGCATTGACTGCTTGTATATTTATGTCACCATGTAATTGTGTACCTATACTTGTCTCTCTGAACACTGAAGATGACTTTGAATAAAGTCGAAACGTTTGAAAATGGATAAAGTAATTTTATATCAAATTTACGATGCAGCCGCGTCACTATGTAAGCTCATAATTGCCGCATGGGAGTTCGAGTTATAAATGCAGAGATCCGTCAGCCTGAAGCTACGATACCTTCTATTTTCGCATTGGCGTTGATCCAATGTCCTGTGTTATATATGCATTAGTCGTTTTCACTCTGGGCCCCATTTCAAATAGTTTTCATGAGTGCCTTATGACCGGCAGTGTACACGTGCCACAGAGACCATCCCGGACCACATCACGTTTGACATCAGGAAGCCAGCACGTGTCTCCGTGGACTGCATGACTGGATGCGAAAACTGCTCAGGGGCCAGGCCGCCAGTGGCAGATCGGGTCTCGGGGCACAATGACCGTCCATCCATACCTCCATCTCTCAGTGCAAAATCGATGGGTGTTGGGAACCTTAGAATAAATGCTGTGGAGTGGGGCCTCACCCTGCACCCGAGTTCCTGCACTTTCTTCTCGTTCAGCTAGATGGAGTTGAAGACGGGGACGAGCAGAGTTCTTCGGATCGTTTGTGCGAAACTGTGTGAAATTTAGCCTTTTTACGTAAATCGTTGTCCCTCCCGGCGCCAGGTCAAACGTCCTTGCTTACGGGCATTGGTCAAGATATTTCGCGGACTGCTACTCGGAGTATGTCTGATCGTAATGCATGTGCACTGGTGTTCATTACTGTACCCATCTTAGTAGCTACCGATAAAATGGATGCTACGTGTAATAATACAACACATTGTCTGAGCTCAATCAGCTACGGCTCAAGTCACCACCTGAACCTTCCCGTTGCATATTATGAGTAAATTACCGATTTAACATACATCATCTTCTATTCAAATGATTTTTTTATGACCTGTCCTGATCTTGACCGCAATATATCTTATCCCGTGAGCCGCAAGTTGTCTTGGTAACATAAGGACGCATCCCGGGATACTGAAATCAGTCACTGCTTTGCTAACCTGACTCCAAAGCCGTGACTCGTTGGATAGAAACTTGTACAGAACTTGTATAGAAACTTCCTTTATCTTCAACCTATCCTTGACAATTGACATCACCTGGTATCGACACAAGCAAACAATTTTGTGCCCCCAATATCCGCTTGTTGAGAGCGCTCACTTCCCGTTCGTCCTGTCAATCGGCTTTCCCCCGTCTTTCTCATACATTCCCAATGTGCCGCATATGTAGCAGTGCAGTTTGGTGCGTCGAGAACACTCGACACTACTGTGTTCTATTAATAAAAATGGTAAAATTGACCTTATGCTCATAATATCAGATAAATTAATTAAATTTATTATGAGCATAAGGTCAATTTTACCATTTTTATTGATTACAATCATGCTCAAAGAAACGTTGTACCATATAAAACTATGTGTTCTATTATACCTAATGCTCTGCTACAATGTGCATATATGCTACTTCCCGTGAACAGCGCTATAAGTGCACTGTTAGTGCTTATTTGCCGCAAAAATACCACGCGGGCGTAAGAAAAGACAGTTTTACCGTGCGTAGTGCGTCATATAGGTATATTTCGATCACAAGCATACCTAGTTGTCACCACAATTTGTATCACCCAGGGAAAAGTTGACGCAGCTGCCACAACCTTCAACCCCGCTTCTGACTGCTACAGCTCTGCCACAGCTGTTTGTTTCTTCGGGCGCCCCTTAGGGCGGGTTTAGAGGTCACATCAAACACAGAGTTCCCGTCACTAGATAGATCTGTCGGTTTTCACATCCAGTCCAGTGGTCATGGTCGTGTTCCGGGCAGGGGTCGGTTCGGGCGCCGCCCGCGACAGGCCGACGGGGTACAGCGCGGGGCAGACCGCAGTTTTTGATCGACCGATGGGCGCTACATCTAACACATACAGTCAGGAAAACGACACCGAAAACGAACAAGAATAAATACTTGAAGCTTTGGCATTTCATAATAAAATTCATAATCAATAATTCAAGAAATTCATAATCCATCATAAAAAGCGCAGTGCAATTAATGACTCGTTATTAATTATTAATAAAAGTACAGCGAAACATCGCATAAAATCAGATATCATCACCGAAACGAGTTACATTCACAGGTACCCGATTTTGTTCCCTGTTCCGTACAACCTCACTATCAGCTGGTCGCCCGCCGCCGCCGCCGCCGGCCGCACTGGCGGCCCCCGGTCTCTGCTGCACCTCTACTGGGCTGCCGCCAGCTGGGGACAGCGCGGCTCCGGGCAGCCGTCCCCTGCGCGCACCCGGCACCCGGCGCGTTCAAACTCCAGCGGACGGTGGCAGTACAGACACTCGTGCTCGCAGGCGGCGCTCGGCGGACGCAGCGGCAGACCCTCCTCGCGCCAGATGGCCACCAGGTCGGCGGCGAAGGCGGAGATCATCTCTGGAGTGTGGTGCGGGGTGGGCGCGATACGCAGCTTCTCCTGGCCGCGTGGCACCGTCGGGTAGTTGATGGCCTGTAGAAGGAAGGGAGGGTCAGGTCACCGTGACAGGTTAAGCCATTATGGCAGGTCAGGTCACTGAGGCAGGTCGTCACCGAGACAGGTCAGGTCACCGTCAAGTCACCCGGAGATGAGGGTCAGGTCACTCAGCAGGCAGATAACTGGAGCAGATCAGATCACCGAGGCAGCTCTCTGGATTAACCGCCTAGTGCCGAGCACCAAGCAGAGCATCAATATTATTGTCTTCACAACACTGAGATTGAAACAATCACAAGTTATCAGAGCGGTGCGGATCACACGCACCGCCCCAGCGACCAGTTCGTGCGTGTCTGACCGCCTGGGAGTGACTCCAATCACCCACGCCCCGATCTGATAATCCGTTATTGTGCTGAGACCGACCCTGTTATGGGGCAGATCCCGGGACACCTCCCCTTCCCTCCATCTGTACCGTGGTGACCAGCCGTCTGAGCATATTCACACACCGACCGGATGATTATCACCCTGTGCGTGACTGCCTATCAGACTTCTAAGGAGTACGAAACGGAGTGTTTCGAAGTTTCGAAGGTGGACCTAGTTCAAAGCCGGTCACAGGTGATACGATATCCGTCCCAGAGGGGTGGTCCCTCGGCTCGCTTTCATCAGGACGAGGAAATTCAAAAGTCGGGTGCATGTGTTGGAAAGTGGGGGTGAAATTGGTTAGAAAATAACACATCCGTATCACTGGGGACATCTGAGACACACCGACCGACAGCAAACACGCTGTGCTCGGGAGGAGTGTTGATTTGCCTATCGCATGCTGAGACGGGGCCGTCGCGGACCGAGGCGCTGCGCCGCCGGGCGCGGTACTGTCGATACCGATGACCCGGCCCGTCAGTTCAGTTCGGCCGGCCCCGGCGGCCCGTCCGTAATACACCGTCACCCGGAAAAGAAAGAGGGACTGATCGACTTAGATCCTCACCAGAGAGTAGGCACCCGGCCTTCCATCTCATCCCGTAGCCCAGGTTTGCGACCGATACCCACCGTCGCCACAATTTCTTCTTTCTTTTTTTTTTTGCCCTGAAACTTATGACCACAACACCTTTCCTTCTCTGTGTACTCGGTTCCTCTCCTCTTAACCTATAATACCGGCCAAGTGCCGCATCCGAAACTCGCCGTCGCACCTGCCCCTCCCCTCCCCTGTCCCAGTGATGGGTACTTGACCCACTCACCCCCGGACAGCGGCGCGGCCAGCACTGGCTGCCGTCACAAACCGGCTCCCCCGCAGGCCAGGGGAGCACTGGAGAAAGAGAGAAAGAGAGAGGGGAGCGAGAGGGAGGCGAGAGGGGACCCTATCTCTCCGAGAAGAGGACTCGGTAGCAGTAAGGAGGCAGTCTGCCACCGACGTAGAAACTGTAGTCTACGAGCCGTCACTGAAAGGGACAGATCACTGTCGCTACCACGCTAGAGGCAGCAGCTTAGCTACGTTTTATTGCATTAATAACGGGAAATATTGTAATGATGCATTACCAAGTGAGAGTAGGATGGAGTTTACGCTGGTCGTTATTCATTTATGGGCACCCGACCTACATATAACGAGCCACTGTGCACTGTGCAACGAATGTAGCTGATGTGTAATGCAGGCCTCAGTCTGGTCTGATTACAATATGGCGCCATTGCATGATTACGTGAAAACTTGGTCTTTCATTTTTCTTTATAGAGGATGCAGTACAGCTTATTGTCTCCCGTCTGCTTTGTAACAATCTTAACCCGCGCACCGACGGGGGGGGGGGCGGCTAACCGCCCCTCCCCCTGAGGTTTTTCGTGAATAGCGGAAAAAACGCGGCGCGATATTCGGCATGACTTTTTCCTTATCAATTTAACACATGGTGTGCAAGTTTCAACCTCACATCTTTTCAAGGTCAGGTCACCAGGTCCCTTCGAATGACCCAACCTCAAATCACTTTTTTGCAACTTTGTCACCGTGTCAGAGCTACAGTAGATGTCGGAGGCCTTTGAAAGTCGTAGAAGGTAACGAGGTCATTGACAGCTACAATTTGTATATCTCGGAATTTCGATATCGATGACCAAAGGTCGGGTCAATTTCTTGACATCCCTATTATAAGTCAATGGGGGAAAATCAGCCTCCTGTTTTTTGTCACCAAAACGCGTCGGAATGGCCCCATATACCATACATGACTTCATATACGATCAACCTCCACTACCTTGAGGTCTGTTTTGCTGTTGGGCAGCTGTAAGGTCATGTGACGTCACCAAGGGTCACCAAAGGTTTTTTTTTTTGCTGATAACTCCATACAGGAACAAGATACAGCCGCGCGGATGGTCTCATTGTGTTCAGCTCGTCAAGGCGCATCGATTGATATACATGATGACCTTGAGGTCACGTGGCCTGGGGTCAACCTTTCTTACCTTTGACCTTGACCTTTCGAGGTCAACACATATGAGGGGCATTCCATGTCAACCGGGACAGCCAAAATCGGCCACCTCTGCGATTTTGTTCAAACTTGGTATACTTATTGGCTATTGGGTGAAACCTCTGAGGGTGAAAGGATTTTGTCATATGCCCTCGGGCTACAGAGATACAAGTCGCTAAACTTCTGCTTTTTTAGCAGAATTGGACGTGTATTGCAATCTTGAAAGATCTATAGCTTCAACATTTTTGAAGCTATTTATTTCAAACAAACTGAAACGTGTACATGAGGAGTTATGCTAGTAAACTTTGACAATTTTTACATTTTTTGGTGATTTTGAATTTATTTTATTTTGAATTGATTTCTTAAAATGTAATTTGTGAAAAATGGGTACCCTTCGATTTTGCTCAAATTAAGATATTGTCTTCCACTACACGTAAGGCACACGTGCTGAGAAAATTAGAGTGGGCCAACGATAACTTTGGATGATGTAGCAACAAGTAGTGCAACTCAGCACGGGCGGTGGAATGGGCCGATTTCGCTAACTCCACCTGTTTATCGCCAATAACTCACGCCCTAATCAGTATATTAACGTCAAACTTTCAGTGTCTGTCCAGAATCGAATCGCAAATCCTCCCATGCAAGAAATAGGTAAATCGGTTCACAACTTTTCTAGTTATAGCGGTGTAAAGTCAAACATTCCTGCCGGAGCGGCTCGGCGGCCGGCGCCGGCCGTTGCCGCCTGAATGGTAGACTGTGCCGGCACGGGACGGTTCCATCTTTCCACCGCGCTTCTTACCGCTGATTATGATCGATTCGTGTCAAATTTTGTGTGAAGGCTTAAAAATGTACAGGCAATCAAATGTTCAAACAAATACGAAAATCAACTGGTAAAATTAAACTATAGTATTAGGGTGCAAACACAATATGTGACTATGACGTTTCCCGCGTCGGCCGATCCCCGCCTCTGCCGGCGACATCGTACTCTTAGCAAGCCACTAACTGCCAAATTTATGGTAAGATTAACTAGAGATTCTCATAACACTACAAATGTCGTATAAAGGAAGAAATAGGTTAATCGGCCACTATCTCAGCTATGGGCGTATAAACGCAAAATAGTCACTATAGCAAATTTGATCACGTTTAACCTCATTTGATCTTGAATATACCTATTGATCTAGGGCCATGAAATTCGCACACAATAAAGTTCCCCACCGCCCCACCTTCAATTCAAATTTAGTTTTTTAATACCTTTTTTGGCTAAACCGGGCTTTTCTCCCCTAGCGCTGGGAGAGTCAGGCGTCTTTTCTTTTTGCAACCAAAGAGAGGCGCTGCCCGGAGAATGCCCAATTTCATCATTAAAAAACTGGCTTACGATGACCAGCTATCTTCGTGGCTTAGTAGTAAGTGTGCCGAGTGTACCCACCTCGAAATGTAAAGGTCGCTGGCTCGCAGCGGGTCAGCCTGAAGTGTTTAAAGGAAGACTGCCACCTTCAAAAAGTTTTCTCAGATCGGCCTATGATTTATTCCCTGGACAAAACAAAATTTTAGAATTCACCTGACAAAGGATCATCACGTGAATCGCGAAAAAAAATGTCGATTATCATTCAATTATCAATCGGTTAATGTCTAGCGACAATGTTTACACATCACTAGACTTCAAGGTCATAAGATTATTACATTTTATTTGAAAAAGTAAGGTATTTTATGATTTACTAATATATGATTTCATAAGAAATTGGCCATGTTTAATTTATTTTGCATTTAAGTTCGTAAAACATTTTTAAAAATCATGGCTCATTTGGAATGGGTCTGGCCCATGTTAAACCCCATTTCCCACACTTTTTTGGAAAAAAATGAACTACTGAATATATAAGTTAAACTTTTATTTTGACACTCCAAAATTCTTCTCTGATCTCGAAACAATCTAAGTTTTGACATACATTTACCAAAAGATAAGAAAATTCGTGTTTCAAAGTTATCGATAAACAGTAGAGATGTCGGTTTTCTTGGACTAAAAAAAATGGCATCAAACTGAACTTTGGTCTCCGATTTCTCGCAAACGGGTTCGAATTTCGGAAAACCGACTTCAGTCTGGGACATAGGTGGCTCAGCTCTAGTGAAAACCGTTTTGTGGAAAAAAAGGTGGCAGTCTACCTTTAACACGTATTTGTTTTTAAGTAGCATCTGGCCAGCCGGCAAAGTTGTCGTGGGCTAATGCGGCTAATGTTCGTATCTAGGTAGCATTTGGCCAGTCGGCAACTGCCGTGAGGGCTGTACATATTTACGCGTGTTAGATTAGGTCAGGTCACGTCAGGTCAGGTTATGTTTGCTTTGATTTGGGGTAGAAAGAAGCATCTCCGGGTAGCGCCTCTCCTTGGTTGCTAAAACGAAACACGCGAGTGCCAGACATTACGAAGTCCAAAGGACAGTTACGTAGACGTCGGCCCATTCTGGATTTTTTATATGATGTAGCTTATGTATAGGAGAATAAAATATGTAAAAATCAGCAAAATCGAAGGGTACCCATTTTTCAGAAAATCAAAATTTATTTTTTGAATTTTAATTAAGTTCACTAATTAGTTACGTACGTCAATATTGTTATCCTCAAATTAAAGCCTGACCTATTCCCTCCATTTCACACTTTGTCTCGTGGTGATATGTCTAAAACTTCAATGGTTATGACGCTTTAAAGATGATAACGTGCCTTGCCTAAGTCAATGTTTGATGACGTGCATCTCGGAAACGTGACGTCATATCTTGACAAAAATATGTCTCCTTTCTTTTCACATATAGATGAGTAGTTTAACAGAGTTTCGCAAAAATCGGAAGAGGTGAGGTTCAAAATGATCATTTTTTGTCCCACTTGACGTGGAATGCCCCATGATTCGATGCGGATTGACGAGAGGATCACGATGGTGCCATTAGTTTGTTCCATTAATTGGTGCCAGACGGTTCGACAGACTCTCCTCCCCGGCGTCCCCCCTTTATCCTTCTCCTGCAGTGCTCACCTGTACGTAGTGTCCTCTCTCGGCTCCACATCCCTCTCCCCTTATCCTCCCTCTCCCGCTCACCTGTACGTAGTGTCCTCTCGGTCCGACAGACTCCCCTCCCCCCTCTCCTCTACCTTCCACCCCCTCACCTGTACGTAGTGTCCTCTCTCGGCTCCACACACCCTGTCCCTCCCTGTACCTTCCTCTCCCGCTCACCTGTACGTAGTGTCCTCTCCCGTCCTTAGACGGTCCGACAGTCTCCCACTCCTCTCTCCTTTACCCTTTCTCTCCCTCACCTGTACGTAGTGTCCTCTCTCGGCTCCACATCCCTCTCCTCTATCCTTTCTCCTCCACCTCACCTGTACGTAGTGTCCTCTCTCGGCCAGCAGTCGGTCCGACAGACTCCCACTCCTTCTCTACTCTATCCTTCTCCCGCTCACCTGTACGTAGTGTCCTCTCTCGGCCAGCAGTCGGTCCGACAGACTCCCACTCCTTCTCTACCTTTCTCCTTCCGCTCACCTGTACGTAGTGTCCTCTCTCGGCCAGCAGTCGGTCCGACAGACCCCCGCTCCCCTCTACTCCCTCTCTCCCTCACCTGTAAGTAGTGTTCTCTCTCGGCTCCACATCTCTCCCCTCTCCCGCTCACCTGTACATAGTGTCCTCTCTCGGCCAGCAGTCGGTCCGACAGCCGGTTGGAGACCAGCGGGTTACCGACGTGTACCGGGATGATGTGGCTCGGACAGTGTTCTACCGGCACTCCGGCGTCGTTCAGCAGGTCGCGCAGCAGCTTCACGTTATCCTGAGGAGGTGATGAGGGGAGGGGAGGAAAGGTCAGCATGGAAGAGAAATGAGGATACAATATAACATCACAGCTCATGATTTGAGTTGAGACGCCGCAAACAATGATTTGTAGCAATGACATCAATTAAATATAGCAACCATAATGTATCATAACACACTGCAAATTCGCACTGTGAAACCACGAATAAGGCATTTAAAATCAACACTTCACGGTAAAAAACACCATTGACGCTAGCCAGCAAGACAGGAAGCAAGAAACAAGAAACTCCCAGAAACTCACGAGCTCTAAGACTAGCATATCAGTATGAAGCTCCCAATCCAGGAGCCTCACAACTTTTATGATCCCCTCCCCATCGATCCCTCCCATCACCTCACCTGGTGCGTGGCCCTCAGCCGGCGCCCCTCGTCGCTCCTCAGGAGTCGGACGGCCGCCAGCGCTCCGGCGCACACGGTCGGCGGCAGAGAGGTGGTAAAGATGAAGCCGCTGCCGTAGCTGCGGATCACGTCCACCAGAGAGGCTGAGGCCGCGATGAAACCGCCGATATTGCCGTAAGCTTTTCCTGTGGGAGGAGGGGGAGGGGTCAGGGAGCTAAAAGATAGTGGTGGAATGAAACTACGGCCATTCTGGCTTATTGAGTGCAGCTTTACCCAGACATCGAGGTAGGCCAAAAGAATGTGAGGGTGCGCTTCAACATATTAACCCTCGCATGTGTGCGGCGTTTGCCAGCTTCTAATGTGTAGGGGGGGGGGGGTCGGTTGGACCCCCCCCTTGCCGTTTGGCCCCTGATCGAGCTAGAGCTTCGCGGAAAAAAAAACGAGCGTGTTGCCCGTGACGAGAGGAAGCCGATGATACCCAATTTTAAGGTCCTAGGTCATTGGGTGACCTTCCTGGTCAGGTCAGTGACCCAAAGTCGGGAAAATCGGGACCTGTTAGAAAGTCGTAAAGTGTGGCTGCTAAGGGGTTTTTCGGGGTGCTGATCACGAATATCGTGTTAGTTTTGATCACAGATGATGTCTTTAAGCATTTACACCAGGTCGGGTCAGGTCAGGTCAGGTCAACCAGTAGGCATCGTGACGGGTATTCGTAGTATGTGTCAACCGCCTCTGACAGCTTCGTAACATGTTACGAAGGCACCAAAACTACTTCGTAAATGTTCAAATGGTTGCTAAATTCGAATTCAGCTCCAAAAACTAGCCTAGAAACATGTACAGCTCGAAAAAGTGAACCCAGGTCACCCGAGGTCACCAAAGGTCAATGACCTGACCTGACCTTCAGGTGACCTTGACACCCACCCTAATGTATGGCAGCAGCATCAAATCACATGTTTGAACGTTTGAAACCACGAAAAGCTTGCAAACGCGCGGCTAATGCGAGCCGACATACGCAGAATCGCGATTCCGGCCAAACATGGTCTCGGAAAAGAGGTCACAGGTCAAAGGTCATTTGGGTCAGGGTCATGAAATTTTCAGGGTAGGTGTAAAATTGATCAATGTGAGAGTACTGAAAGTTTCGTCGCGATCGGCCGCTTTTTACGCGAGTTATTCGCGAAAAACCATGGGGGGTCCATCCGACCTCCCCTACACATGCGAGGGTTAATTTCAAAATGGCAAGCGATTGGCAGTGAGCAAATTGCCGGACATACAAATTGTACGGCGCTTCTCTCGCAGGATGTCGTACCTAGGGTTCCGGAGATTATATCCATCTTGTCGAGGACTTGGTCCCTCTCGCCGATTCCGGCTCCGTTCTGACCGTACAGGCCCACCGCGTGCACCTCGTCCACAAAGGTCAGGGCGCCGTACTTGTGCGCCACCTGTCGGTCAGAGAAACAAACGTCAATACCTCGCTCAATCCAGAGATGGCGCGCAGCATCTGGCAGCTTCCATTCCTCATCGATCGGGCAGACTGACGGTCATCGGTCGGCCGAGACCGTGGATGCAGCGCCCGAGCCTCGTCGGTGGCCGACCACTGGGATGCAATCGACCCAGACTACGCGTCGTGCGTCGAATGAGAGAGGGCACCAAGGGAGCCCGATTATGTGCACAGGAGGGCAGCTGATGACAGGTGGGACGTTTTTCAAACAATAACGTGAAAAATCGATGCAAGCAGCTTATAAGTCACAGTTGCGCTGCAGGGTAATTACAAACGACCGTATCAATTGAACTAGGCCCATATTCAAAGAAGACACAACAATCATCCCGCATATCACTCAAAACAATACAAACAATGCTGTCAGCGTCACAAGGCGCATCAATACACAACCAAGAGCTACGTCTCAGGGGAAACCCGGCACCATACAAAACTCTCAACGTAAAAACATCCGTTAACGGTCTATCTATGCAGGGCATCCCCATCTACGCCCGACATCCATCATAGTCATTCCCCGTTACATATCACCCAGATCACTCAAACATCCTCCAGATCAATCACTCATCCCCCGTACTACTCACATCACAAAGCGTCTCCAGGGGACAGACGGCCCCAGTCATGGAGTGCACCGTCTCGAAGGCCACGATCTTGGGCCGGGCCGGGTCCAGTTTGGAGAGCAGCTCCTCCAGATGCTCGGGGCTGTTGTGGCGGAAGATGAACTTGTCGGCGCCCGAGTTACGGATGCCCTGGATCATGGACGCGTGGTTGCCGGCGTCCGAGAGAATCTGACATCCTGGGGGAGAGATAGAAAGCCAGAAAGTGAGTGAAGGAAGTGTAACTGGAGGAGGAAGGTGTGGATATTGGAAAAGCTGGTTAATTTCGAGATATTTGAAATGGATTTTGACGTTTATTGAGTACAATTAACAGGGACTGAATCTTTGCATTCACGTGGAGAAAATGCCTATTGGTTGGTTAGAAGTACAAAGTGCATGAGTGGCGGTCTGGTTGCGGTATTGTTCTTTTTATGCAATGGCCGTTAACCCGCGACCGCCTGGGGGGGGGGGGGGTCGGATCCGACCCCCCCCTCCGTTTTTCTTGAATAACTCATGAACCACTTTCGCTATCTACTTGAAACTTGGCATACCTTCTCCCCCATCAATTTGACGTCTCCTGTGCAATTTTTAAGAAAAAATTTCCAATTTTTTTTTAGATATATCGATTTTAGTGTTGTAACTACATGGCGTTTTTAGTCAAAAAGTGGCAAATGTTTAAAAAATCGCCAAAAATCAGGGTTTAAAGCAAATTGCAAATTAAGGACATGAAAAGACGCAGCTCAACGAGTTCTTTAAAATGGCTATCTCGGATTTTCCATAAAATGCGTTTTTAACCCCTAAAAAATCCAAAAACTACTTTTTTGGAAAACAGCTAATAAAATCCAAAATTTTGGGAATTTCCAAAAAACCGGAAAATATGTTGTAGAGCTCTATAAGAACATTAGATGCCCCAAATTTAAACTTTCTATCTTGATTTTTGACCCCCAAATTGTAAAAAATAGCTCCAACATGCATAGGGCATATGGTGACGTCATAAGCATTTTCGTGAATTAGAGGCACTTCTGAACATTGCATGTGAAAACAAATGGCACCACTAGATTTCTGGGACAAAGCTCGTCTAGAAAAGTGTATTTTTATGTCAAAAATAAAAAGTTGAAAAATTGACTTTTTTTCTTAGCCCTCCTTTAGTTATGTAGGGTATAAACGATTTTTTATGCTTTCAATGCACACTTATCACCAGCACAGTGACTTGGGGTCACATATAACCATTACCATCGGATTCGGCGTGAAAAATAAGCCATAAAACATGTGTCGCACGCCCATGTAGCAGAAATTGAAAACCGTGACCTTTCGTGACCTGACCTGACCTTGACCCGTACTTAGTATGACCCCTATACGCACATGGTACCTTCACTAGGCCTTTGAGGTCATTTTTGGTGAGTTTCGAGCAGCAGCTATCGATTCCGCTGTCCGTAAGCCTAATCATGCAAAACCCCTGAATTTGACCTTTGACCTGACCTTGACCCGAAAGTTGACCTCAATCTTAAAATCTTAAGAGTGCTTTGGGAAGGTCTCGTAGAGACCTTTCGAACGCCGCCTCGCGGGGCTCGATACGACCATTGGTTCTCGAGATAACAGGGGGGGGGGGTCGGATCCGACCCCCCCCCAGGCTCTCGTGGGTACGGAAATAGCCCAGGCGGTGCCGGGTTAAGAGTAGTTGGTGATCACAATTAACCTTCGCCCCAGTGGGGGGGGGGGCATATGTTACCACCCTGTCGCGTTTTTTGCGTATGAATAAAAAACCGCGGCGCATAGCGCCGCGCCGCTTGGTGTAGCTTTTGGTACATCAATTTTGGACAATGTGTGAAATTTTTGACCCAAGGTCATGTCAGGTCAGGTCACCAGGTCAAGTTAACTGACCAAGCCTAAAAAAGTTTGCAATCATGTCCAGCCTGCAGTGTTTGTCAGAAAGGTTTTAAACTTGGTGGATTGCATTATGTTATGGGTGCCTACAATTTGTATATCTCGGATTTTTTATATCCGTGACCTAAGGTCAGGTAAGTGGCGTGACCTTTCCATTACAAGTCAATGGAGAAAAATGAAAATGCCTCTAGATCCGCGTGTACGCATAGGAACAGTCCAAATATTTCAGAATCACAATGATTTGGACCACCCGTGATGACCAGTTTTCGGTTAGTTTTCGCGGAGAAATTCTCCAACCTTGTACAGAGGTGAAAAACCTCGGTTTGGTTTTTGATCGGTACCTTACATGGGACCGTCACTCGCCGCTGCAACGGAATGCTGACTGGCCTCTTACACCTGCGACATTATCTACCCGAATCTGAACTGTCGACCCTCGTCTCCGCCCTGGTTCTCTCTCACGTTAGATACTGCTTATCTGTTTACGGAAACGGTACCCTTAAAAACATGGACAGAATTCAAAAGGTTCTAAATTTCTCAGCCAGGGTTATCTCGGGGCGAAAAAAGTTTGACCACATATCTGACGTGCAGAGGGAGCTGGGGTGGTTATCGGCACCTGATCTGGTCCGATATCATACCCTGATGTTGGCCCACAAAGTCCAGAGGCATGGCGAGCCCGAGGAGCTGGCGGGTATGTTTCGCCGTTGTCGTGATGTGCGTGACCGACGGACGCGGCAGGACGAGGCGCTCCGCGCGCCCCGCTGTAGGACGGCATGCGGTCAAAGGCGCTTCGCATACCGCGCCGCGGTGGCTTACAACGCGCTCCCCCCGGCCCTGACCGAACGACCGGTTGGACCGTTCTGCGGAGGAGTGAAGCGCCACCTGGCACGGGGTGGCGGCGGAGATGTGATGGGCTAAGCGCGGATGCTCGTGTGCATGTTTTGAATGCTTGTTCTACCTCCCCACTCGTTTTGGTTTTATGCATGCGTTTGACACTGAGCAATTTAGCCTCGGTTATCGGGGATGCTCTACGGATGTTTAATACAATACAATACAATACCAAGGTGTCATTTTTGCTGATAGCCTCTAGAAAGGTCATCCAAGGTCATTTGAGGCTACAAACAGATTTTTGCCAATAACTCGCGATTGAAAAGAGATAGAACGCTGGGGATGGTATCATTGTGTTTGTCTCGCCGAGACGCATCGACTGATATGCAACATGACCTGTTCCGGTCAGGTCATGACCTTGACCTGAGGTCAAATTTTCAAGTTGACCTTTCAAGGTCAAATTATAGTTCATTCGACGCGTCTCGGCGAGAGGAACACGATTCTGGCAATAGAAATGTCGTGGCTTTTTGTTGTCGAAAGTTATTGTCGAAAAACACTTTTTCGTAAAAACAGCTATTTTTGGAGTTTTTGCCCTCTGGAGGCTAAACCGTTGACCTGAGGTCAATTTTGATAATGACCTTTTCAAAAGAAGAGTTCAAGAGCTATCGATTGCTTTTCCATGCGTTTTTCTAGCTACCATAGTTTCTGAGATAACGGCATGTTTTCTGAAAAATATTATGACCATTGGCAAATTTTGACCTTTGATGACCTCTGGTGACCCCAATATTGCTCTAAGATGAAAAATGACTGGAATACTTTCAGACGTACGCATTGAGAGCTATCGACTGCTTTTTACCGCGTCTTTCTAGCCCTCTTAGTTTTTGAGTTAGAGGTGGGTGGTAACATATGCCCCCCCCCCCCCCCCACTAGGGCGAAGTTGGCTGAGACTGCCACTGGGGCGCGGGTTAAGTTTACAGCGTGGAGCTTCAGTTTTGTTTGTATATTATTTTTTATCTTGCTAGCAATGCCATTTTCGTATTCGGTTTCACAATGGCCCCTACATGACCAGCAATTAGCACAAGTGTCGTAAACAAAGGTAACATCGTAATAAAATGGCCTTATCCTTTGTTGTAGCGAAGGTCATCAATTCATAATGACATATGTGCCTGCAAACGGCGGGACAGGCTAATATACGAGTGGAAGGCACACCTGTGATCTGACCTCAGCCGTCATCCTTCATGGGAAGAGCCGAGATAGGGAGGAGAGGGGAGGGTACACCTGTGATCTGACCTCAACCGTCATCCGTATATCACTCATGGGAATGGCTAATAGGGAGGGGCCAGGAAAAGGCACACCTGAACTCAACTGCCGCCTATTCATCACTAAAAGGACAGGCTGTCCCATCTAAAATGTAAAAAGCCATATGTGCCGACCATCACTCCCCCCTCCCCCTGCATTCCCCAACAGACAGGCATGAAAGACAGCCAAATCCTGTCCCTAGACAAGTGTGCCGGATGTGCTGCGATGCACGATGAATGACAGCCGAGCGGCTGGGTGGGCGGCGGTTGCTGACACAGCGCAGCAAATTGGCGACACAGCGGAGCTTGACAATTGTTTCACCGGCCGAGGTCACCCATCTGACCTCTGACACCGGGCACGTAACTGACTGAGGTCATCAGACTGACCTTTGACCCAGGGTCGGCGACATTACTCATGTACCCTCTAACCGACTGATGGTGACTGCGGCGCCAGGACTTCCCGATGACGAGACAAGCTTTCGAGATAGCGCATGACAAGCACCCCAAACACCGTAATAAAACAAACACATCATCATGATTGGACTAACGGAACGTTCCGAGATCTGACGTTATCGGCTTTAGGTACGTGACGTATCATCACGCCAAAAATAGCAGCGCGGGAGCCGAGTCTTCGACCTTATCGAGCGACCCGACTTAGTAACCATCCGGCTCCAACTACCGACCAAGTCTGATCGAAGCAGCCAATTTCGACTTGACTCCATGAGTCCCCCACCTGAGACTTGCAAAACTTTCATACTCAACCCCCCTCCGACTCATCCAACTTGACAACTCAACTGTCCCCCTCCCCCTCTGAAAACTCCAACTGACACCCCTCCGGCTAGTTACTCACCAGGCAGTGACCGAGCCAGCGTGAAGAGGGTGGTATCGTTGGCCACGTAGCACGAAGTGAAGAGGAGCGCGCCCGTCTTCTGGTAGAGGTCGGCCAGCTCTGCCTCCAGCTCCTCGTGGAAGAGCGTGTTGCCGGAGATGTTACGGGTGCCGCCGGCGCCGGCGCCGTGCTCCTTCAGAGACTGGCTGCACGGAGACAGGGAGGAGATGGTTAGTGGAGGGACATAGAGGGTCGAACTATCGAACACACTAATGTCAACAAAACTTGTGTACTTGTTTCGACTTATCAGCCGTAAAACAGGTATGCTTTGCCATGATGTCACCAATTTAAGTCGTGTCAGGAGAGGTCAGGGTCAGGTCAGGTCAGCTCTCACCTCACAGCTCCGATGACGGCCGGGTGTCGCGACATGCCCAGGTAGTCGTTGCTGCACCACACAGTCACATCGCGCCGGCCACGGGAAAACTCGGCGGCCGCCGGAAACTGGTCGGCGCTACGCAGCACCTGAATCGACAGAGGGACACAGGTCACATCACGGGTCACGGGACAAGTGTTACGTTCCCAGTCGAGTAATGTCACGGCACGATGAAGGGGGAAACAGGGGACAGATTTCTGAGAGGGCTTGGATCTCGGGAGGTAGATTTTATTGGTGCTGGATAGATTGAGCCGTGAATCAAATAATGTTGAACTTCTGTGGTGCGTGACAAAGATAAGAAATCGTTAAGAGGATAGTGAAAAAATGAAGAGACGATATGTACGCACGCATGAAGACGTACCACAATCGACCAATGGAGGAATCCTTACATATCCCACATAAGAATGATGCATGGGTCTGCTGAAAACCAAAAGCAGAAGAACCGAAGAGTTTCAAATGACATTGGTTTCAATTCATCCAAGAAGGGTACGAGACCCACCTTCTTGAAGATGCGGTACGAGTGGTCCTCCTTCTTCTTGCGGATCTGGTCGCGGAAGAAGCCCTCATAGTCGAACGCTGCCGAACAAGCGAGATGCACCACGTCTCAGAAACGGCATGACATGTCCACTTAAAGTAAAAGACGAGCACTTGGAAGTGTGAGGAAACAAAAAATAAGACGATTGTATGCCTGAAATGTCGACAAAAATATGTGATTTTTGTGTTGTGAATAGCCTCAGGTTTCAATGAAATTAGGATGCTTCCACGTGAAATATTCTATAGAAACATGTTAGGGCAATAGCTAGCCGGTCATTCACACAACATAAGAATAGATCGTGGAAGAAGAACCACCTAAAACTATAAAGTACAAGAGTACACACACAAATGCATGCGCACTAACTACAGCCTGATAGGAAAACTGGAAAAGGGTGCATTATTGCAATTTAGGTCGGGGTCGCTTGAAATAGCAATCAACGTCTTCGAAATATGACAATCTAAAACACTCCACACAGTGCAATAAGTAGCACAGCCGCAACGTCATTCCAGGCAGTGCATACTGCAGTGCATGCATCACTATAAAACAGAGCACAAAGTGCACTGGTTGACGTCAAGGCACACACACGAGTTTCCTGGAAAAGCCGGGCACAAATCTAGCTACACTGAAAAGCAAGGTGCGCACAACAGCTACACTGATCAGTAATGAAGCACACAAGTAACTACTCTGCCAACTGTTAGAAAGACGGATAAATACTGAGATCACCAAACCCTGACCTAGGCTCTCCTGGTCGGTCGCGTCGGTGCGCTTCTCCACCGGGCATTTGCGGGCTGTCAGAGAGGAGGTTAGATCCAGTGAGCGCACCGTTCAACGCAGCTTACCCAGCGCGGCAGGCTCAGAGTGGTTCTGCCATACTTTGTGTCATACAACAAGCATCCATCACCCAAACTTAGCACCCTGTATATAGTGTATAATGTGTATCATGGTCGCACATCCATCACAGTGTCAATGTCCGTAGGAGCTGCAGAGGCACGCATACACTCATATTCGTGCCCATACCCACTCACGATACACAATGAAACCACCAAACCCCAAATCCATCAACAAAGCTCCAAACAATATATCCCAACTCTCAACCTGACACGATCAAAGTTCCACACGCCATCGTTCCTCCTCTCCCGGCAACTCCCATTACAATCATCATCCACCCACTGAGCAGCGAAAATTGTCCGCAGCGGAAGAACACTCCTCCACCGTTTTCTCAGGCCGAGGCCGCGTTACTCACGCTCAGAGACGGAGATGGTGTCACTGTAGGCGTCCACAGTGGTCTCCTTCAGAGCCGCCGCCGCCGTCTGGTCCTTCAGGAACGGACACTTTGAGATGGCGCCCGCCGCTGAGGGTGGAGAAAGAACAACATATTCAGTACGACGATACACAACCAGTTACATGTACGACGGTGAGGACTGGCTGAATGAAAATACGACCTAATGTCCTGCTGTCTATGTTACGAGGGTCAGCGTATGTGAGTAGGGAAGCGGTATATCGTTGTCAATGTCAACACTCAGAGAGAAACGAAACAACTCATTACATATGCCAGTAACTGACGCCGTGTTATCGTGCAAGGTGGTTGGGTAACTGGGTAAAATGAGCATCGAAAATAATAACGGTAAAATTAACTAGGCATCGGCAACGTCCGTTACGGCAAATTTCGCAATGAATTCCTGCACAGTCATAAAAATGCATTGTTGTTGAAATACAATAGGCAGTTAGAGTTTGGCAAGTCAGCGTGGCATGGGCCGCACCCTGCCACACCCGTACAAGTCCGTGAGGCTCGTGCAGCACGAAACATTCTGACCCATACTTGCGCCCACCCTATGACCTGCTGACCATGCATGTACCCGTGTAGCAGAGTGCATGTCAGCACCTCTGACACAACCAGTTTAAGGTTTCAGGTACGCAATCTAGCCGAACAAAATTACTTTGCAGTTTGCACCGTGAGTTTGTCTTACTATAGATAGGACGTGATTAAAATAAAACGGTAACAATAAATGTCCTTTCGTCATAAAACAACATGATAGCTAAGAAAGGATACAATGACTGTGGGAACTATAACGCACATTTACACGAACCGTGAACTTACCGTGCTCGGGAGCGGTAGCGGCGCTGGACACATGACGGGCTAGCACTGGGCAGTTGGCTCCGTAGGTGGCCGCCAGCCGGCCCCCGTACGACTGCAGGTAGCGGGCCGGGAACATGCGCAGGAACGGACACGGCGACTGCATCCTCAGTTGCTGAACGGCACCTGTAGGAACAGAATACATCAGTGAGATATGTGGTGGGCGTGTGTTGCGGATCCAGATGGTAGGTAGGTATTAGTCACGGTGACTATAAATAGGTATAGTGTGTCAGAAAAATGGCAGAATTTCAGATCTGGCAAGAATTCTGCAGTGCAAAGGCAAAAAACTACTATGTGAGGTCAGAGTCTGGCCTCACATAGTAGAATTATCAGTTCACTGTTACAGCAGACTCACTGCCATCACAAGCATAGCAAATGTGCTAAATCTGTACATCCTCTGCTTCTACCCATACATGCTTGTCATTTCAACATGGATCCTTTCCTTAATTTCAGGAGGGCATGGGTCTATCCTGAGACCAGAGGGGTGTTCACGGGCACCGCACACTGCTGCGTGCGGTGTGTGCGGTGCGTCCAGCAGGCGTGGGGGTAGGGGATGGGTAGGCGGCTCTGACGTCACGGCTGCGTGCGGTGGACGGTCCGCTGTGGCCAGTCCCGACCGGCCACAGCGATCGCTGTGTGCGGTGACGGAAGGCTGACGTAGGGACGCAGTGGGCGGAGCTTGGAGGCTGTGTGCGGTCCGACCGCACACAGGGCCCGTGAACACGTCCACTCAAACTTTGGGTTTACTGCTCAATTTGCGATGATTTGAGATGACAGGACAATGCAACTGAGGGTAAAGTTTTATTTGTAGAGAATACACCACATTTATCCTCTCAGCAGGCAAACCTTAACCTACTTTCACATTTTACATCTCAAATCTAAAGAAAAAGTAGTAAGGATGTAAGTTAAAAAACTTTTTTACCTAGCTGGTTTTACTGCTTGAACTACCTTGGCCTGTGTTACAACTTGTGTTAAAACTTGACATCTGAAGACAAAAATTTAGGTCACATTCGCATTGGGGGCAGGCATTGGCTACGAAAGGCAAAAGGTTCACCATATTCTGCAAAAAAGGTTCCCTAAAAGCAGCCCATTCCTCTCCATCAGAAGACCAAGGAACTGCCTTATTAATGGTTATCAAGTTTCAGGCCCTCACAGCTCAAGCCTTTTAAAGCTATGAGGATATGGTCATAAAACTAACTGATAAATATGACCCTCACACAGGCACTAAGAAACCTGAAAAGTATTTAACCAAACTTTTTCTTATAACACTTGTAAGGTTTTCTTCTACTGGGAGGTAAACAGAAAAATTCATAACGGATGTCGGCTAGACAGGGCATGTTTTAAGGCACTTACTGCGGGACGCAGCCCCCTCGCCTTGGGACGTAGCCCCTGCTGATTTGACCCACTGCGTCCCTGCCCTGTGCCCTGTCCGATTCCCTGACCTGTGCCCTGCTGTCTGCCCTGACCTGTACCCGGCCTTCCCTCTAAAATGTCCTGTGCCATGCCCTGTAACCTGCCGTGCCCTATTTCTGCCCTCCTCAGTGCCCTTCTCTGTTCCTTGCCCTGTGCCTTTAGTCGTAGCATGTGCCCTCTGCTCAACTTTGGGATGCAGTAAAAATTTGTTAAAATATGCCCTGCGGCTAGACTAGAGGGTAAAATCGAAATGCCAACTCCATAGGCCGCAGATCTCCACCACCTGCTGATGGGGGGAGGGGGGCAGGCCCCAGGGCAATTCGTGGAAAGTGGAAACAGCATTTCAATTTCACCTTTCAGTATCTCAGGCTAGAATTTTGGAACTATTTAAGGTACCAAAAATGACATGGAAGTAATTTCAAGTGGAGCAAACTGAACAGATTATAGATATATGGCTGGATCATAAATGGGGGGATAAACTTAAAAATTGATTTTGTCAAGACGAATGATAGTGATAGTGGTTATATAATGATACGACAGAAAAGCACATTTTCAATTCAATACCAATGACACATTCAATCAGCATTCAATCACCTTGTCGGGGTAGAAAGCTGGTAGAAAAAGTCGTTGGAAAGTCGAACGTGCACCACCTGGCGCCACCACGGCCTTGAAAAGAATGAATGAAAAATTGACTTTGCGACCTGCTGCCACCTAGCGGGAGTTATCAGTAGCTATAGTGCAATCTATACCCTGCTGACGGAGTACTGGGCCCTGTTCAAGTGTCTGCGGCCGCCGCGGCTCCCGCGGCCAAAAAGGCGGAGCTTAGCTGGCGGCCAATCAGGTGAGAGCAGCATTCTGGGTAATGCGTAGCTCTTCCTGCGGCTCCCGCGGTCGCTCGGGAGCGACCGCAGGGAAACTTCGACATAAACTGCGCGCGTGAGACAAAACATTGCGGATTTCGCTCTTTGTTTCGGTTGATTTTATTATGTTGTTAAGGAATAATTGCTTCAAAAAGGTACTAATTGAAGTAATAAAGCCATTATAAAGCAATTACGCACAAAATTTTGATCAGCATCTCCTTTCAAAACAAACGTGCCACTCTCGTCGCCGGCCGCAGCGGCCGCAGCCGCGAGGGTGTTCAACCTAACCGAAATTAGGCTCCGCCTCCCGGCCGCGGGAGCCGCGGTGGCCGCAGAGCACTTGAACAGGGCTCGGTACTTGGCTTCATTCATTCCAGATGACGCCACAAACCACGACTGACGATGGTGATTGATTGGCGTAGCTCTATCGTCATTGTCCATTGATCGACTTCGTGGCGGCTTGACCAAGGTCCATCTACAAGATGCACAAATCCTTCTCCACTACTCAAGCCCCCTGATCATAGTCCGAAACGTTCACCTTCATCTGGCGAGAGTAGCTCCTCGAGATCAATGATCATGCTCATTGCTTACGGTGGTTGGGTGCCCACTAATGATGTCAGGTACCTACGTATAGGTACAGGTCTCGCGGGTTTTAGCGGTAGGTCGCTCGGCGAGCGGGAGGGCAACCAGTTCCGCCTCTGTAGCGGTGACCATTTGCTCCGCCCAGTTACTCGCGAGTGCGTACTACGGCACATAAGTAAATTGGGGAGGGAAGGGTCGCAAAAAAAAAAGAGTGGCAGCCTGCGTAGAGGCTAGAACCGGTTTCTATCGTCTGGGCCGGCGACACGGCATGCGGTCAGGGAACGGGGAAAGGTCAGAGGTCACTCACAATGTGCAGTACTGCGGCCCGTCCTCTATGCGTGCTGACCAGCGCACGACCTCGGCCGTTGGCCAATCGGCATTGGACGGTTAAGGCCACCCGTAGCCAGCGGGCGGAGTGAGCCGGCAGCGTGCCGATCCATAGGTAGTCGTTCAAAGTTTTAGCCGCTTACCATTGAGGCCGGGAGACGACTGGTCTGTAATGCTATTTCTGGGGAACAGTCCTGTCATTTAACCCGCGCCTCGTTAGGCTACCGATCGGTCCCATGGGGAAGGGGGGGTATTTTGCCCCCCCCCCGAAGATCTCGAGAAGCACGCAACATAGCGACAAGCAGCAAACGGTGTTGGATAGCCCCAACGAAGAATTACCTTTTGGCTCAAATTCATTGACCTCGGTCAAACCGATGACGTCACAGGACAGGTCAAATGTCGAATTTTCACTGTTTACACGCATTTCAAGAAATGTGTTGTAAAATCGAGAAAAATGAATGTCATTCATCGATAAGAAATCGATGAATGACAATTTTCGATGATGAATTGTTCGTCAAACACATATTTTGCTATTTGGGGTCACTGATACCAGATCAGGTCGCAGAGGTCAGGTCACTGAGGGTCACAATATGAAAATAACTATTATGTGATGCATGTTTTCTGGTCCATTTTACATGACAAATGCGATTATGTGGGTCAGGCAACCTTTGGGGCTAGTTAAGGTTATGTTCTGGTGAAGGTCAGGTAAAGGTCAGGTCAAATTTGGTCAAATTTCTGATTTGATATTTTTGCATAAAATGGGTATCGGTTCGATGCAGCTCGTCACGGGAAGGCTAATGGTGGTCTTTGTTTGGCGCTGCGTGGTCTAGAATTGCTAAAAATTTAGTTAAAATTAACGTCATCAATTTTAACTGTTTTTTAAGCTACAACTTGGCCAAAAAAGGAGGTGTCGATCGCGTATTTACAAATTGCAACCGAGCTCCGCCGTGGGGTAAGGTGGGCAGGGGTTTTCGCACTACGGCTGCGGTTGAACTACCGTCTGTGGTAGAAACTTCAGGACGATGGCGCGTTTCATACGAAATCTGGCGCAATGTTTGTTTGCTTCTGAACTTGTCCTGTTATTGGGAGTGTTTCAATAACGATTTGTGGATTATTTGAGTTTCTTTATATAAACATAGAATAGTATTATGAAACAGTGAGTGGAAACTGCAAATACTGATATGATCAATTACTTAGTTTGGGAATTGATACACATTTCGTAGAGATTTGTCTGGCAAATCATGGTGAAATGGTGTAACAAACCTCAAGCCTGTCATGATCTGAAGCTGTTGTAACAAATCAAAATTGCTTTGATGTTACATAGTACCTTGTTGGAAAGACTGGAGCATGGTTCAAGATGATGTGTAAAAATTCAAGATTTGTGTGAAAGCTTGTGACTGAAGAACGAAAACAGTTCTATATGAGGGCTCAATCAAACGTGGAAATGGATGACAAAAGTAGAGTTTCAACATTCCAGCATGTGAGAATATCTTCAGTAATTCATAATTCTTGTAGCATTTTATTCTTCTTATATACAGTTATAGGTTTTGTCAGGGTTTTTCAAATTCATTGTGTCAAGTTGAGATATAGATGGATTGCGGACAAATTTTATAATCATTGCATGGTAGCTAGGTACTTGTTTGGTAAAAAGGTATGTGATGAAAGCCATGAGAAGATTTTTTTATGATTTAATATATGGTCGTTGTTGTACTTACAAAAATGCAAGCTTACTAGCAACTAGTTTCTGAATCAAATCGAAAGTATTTGCGATGAATGTATTATGTAAATATGTACCTGCAAAGTATTGTCAATAAATTTTTGTGATGTTGACCAGAGAGCTTTATCATCTGGGCTATGTCGCTCCTTACATTAGGTGTTTAGCATAGTAATTACAGATGAACTTTGTGCCAATATCTTCAATGCACAATGTATGTAGCATGTCTGCAACCCTCACTGATCCTGCTATAGCTATAGGCATTTGGCACCAGCAAGACCAAGGGCATGAACTTCACAGTTGCAGCAACCTTTTGTCATGTACCACCAGTCACTTTTTTACTTAAAGGAAAAGGGCCACCTTTAACATGGGGATTGAAACTGAGATAGCCATCTTGTAGCCCGTGTCCGAAAACATATCTGTCTACCTCCTTACGGCCGATTTCGGCCTCCATTCGTAGTTATCGGCAATTTTAAAAGAAAATACGCCAGGAATGCGTTCTTATCCCAGGAATGCGTTCTTATCCGACAATACAGCCACCCGCGGCGAGGCTTTGGTTTTTTACCAATCAGCTCCAACCAGCTCAGCTTTAACCAATCAGCTTATCTGACACAATCCGACGAGTCTGTCTTCTGAACGCTGATTGGCTTGAGTGTGACGTCATCGCTATGCCATCATACAGTAGGTGCCGTAGAGAGTATCAACATAGTACCAATATGTTAAATAGTTTTAAATACTTTTTCGCGAATTGTGCACTTCTGGCACCAGTTTTAAAAAGAAAATGAAAAATAATAATGTCAAAATGAAAAACAACGATATCTTCATATTTCACGAAGGTGGCCCTTTTCCTTTAAGGTGCACATAGCAGTGCACACAACAATGTGCAGAGGGCCTACACAAAAACAACATGATAAGTGTGTACTATGCACAGCATTGTACCCTGATTATTTGAATATTTTGATCACTCAACAGTCAACAGTCAACAGTCAGGAGATATACCCACTTGTATGTGGTTGTCGGGTGAACCGAAAAATAAATAAATAATAAAATAATTATTGAATATCACATTTATTATACATCACTTGTCAACCAAGAGCATGATGACACACATTTTGACAAGCAATCATGGTAGTATTCCGAATTCCAATAAGTTGGACAGTCACCTCCCTGGGCGTCATTTTTCCAGGAAGGTACCTCTGCAGGTGTTGTGGAAGGCTAGGTTGAATTGGGTTAAGTTAGGCGAAGTAAGGTGGTTAGGACCAGGTCAGACCGTAAGGCCTGGTCAGGTTGATTTTAATCTTTCATTCTAATTTGACATAGATACCTATTACCTATGTTTTTCTCCAGCCTGAATTTCATTAGGTAATGAGTTAATTTTGCTTTGTTTTTATCTGTCTTGTTTTGTGTTTCTGTCCCTAATATTTTGCCCCATAGGCAAGGGTGGAGCTTTTCCAGGGAAGTTGGTGGAGCATGATTGGAGGCGCTCAACCAGACGGCATAGGAGGGCACGGTTTCTGAACGCGCACTGATGCCTGATTCAAGCCACGCTGTCTTCATGCGGGGCGGCGCGCTACTTAAAAGTCCCTAAAAGAACGGGAAGTGATGCCGATAGAACCTTCAATCATTCTGGGCTAACGCTTATGACTTGGAAAAAGTCGCGATCCCAATTCAATCGAAAACCTGTGGGCTCTTGTTCAGCAGGAGGTGTATGAAGAGCCACCCGCCATAAGCACTGCTCATTTGCTCAACCGCAGGCACAGGTTTAGACGGCGTTGGTCCGCATCAAAGCCAGTGTGCTGGAGAATCCATTGGCTGAAATGCTCCAGAACATTCGCCACTTTGTTTTTATGAAAGGTGGCTACAAGCTCAGTTAAAAGAAAAAGTACCAGATTGTTTTGCTTTTTAATTACAGCGGGAAGAAAGGTGTTCGGATAATTTCGTTACACCCCCTGTAATGTTCAAATGGCTGCTAAATTCGAAATCAGCTCCAAAAACTAGCCTAGAAACATGTAAAACTCGAAAAAATGAACCGAGGTCATCAAAGGTCATTGAGCTGACCTGACCTTTAGGTGACCTTGACACCCACCCTAATGCATGGGACCAGCATCATATCACATGTTTAAACGCTTGAAACCACGTGAAGACTGCAACCGCGCGGCTAATGCGAGCCGACATACGCCGAATCGCGATTCGGGCCAAACAATGTCTCGAGAAATAGGTCACAGGTCAAAGGTCATTTGGGTCAGAGTCATGAAATTTTCAGGGTAAGTGTAAAATTGATAAAATCGGGGGTATTGAAAGTTTCGTCGCGATCGGACGATTTTTACGCGAGTTACTCACGAAAAACCGATAAAGCGCACCCAAAAAGGCAGAAATATGCACATGCGATATCCTATACTGCGAAAAAAGGTGCATCATTTTTTAACGTCGCCGACAAATTGTAATTACCCTAAGCTCAGGCAGATGTATGGTAGAAAATCCCCCAAGTGAAATACACTACGGCGGAAATAAAATACCCTACGGCGGAGCTCGGTTGCAATTTGTAAATACGCGTGTCGATCTACAATTTGTTATGAAGCTCGAAGAAAGCAGGGACTATTATATAGATTCCGTTTTTTTAATTCGGAAAA